ATGCACAGTACAATGCCCTGCACTGAAACTTTAGACAAATCCTTAGAACACACAGATCCATGCTGGTGCCCCATCACCCTAATAATATAAGAACTTATATGTTCTATTCTGTCTTTGGAACTGCAGAAAGCAGAGTCTCAAATAATGTACTTTTTTTCCTTACTGATTGCTTTGTTTTCTTTATGTTATTGCCCCCAAAAATCCAAATATTTTCAAGTCATAAAACTAATGCTTGTTGTTTAATTGCATTTTAGAGTGAAATAAATTTTTAAAAAATTAAAGATGTGGGTTGTTTCAAGAAAAATTACAATTAGCAATACAGAGAGGACATGAAGAATCAAAAGTGTTTAGGGAGATTTGATTTGGTTCTGGGTATTTTTTGAAGGTTTTTCCAGTAGGAACTTCAGGGAAACTGATGGGAGGAATGTTGGCTCCCCAGGGGCTGAAGAGGAAGATATCTTTGAGATAAACTGCAAAAAGCAAGTCACTCTTCAAAGAAATTTGTTGAGGAAAAATAACCTTCCTTGCGATTAAAGAAAAAATAACTTTTAAAATAATTCATATGGAGTAACAGAAACCTATTTCCCTGACCTAATTTATCATAACAATTCTTAAAATTTAGACATTGAAAAATTAAAAAATTTATACTTTTCCTAAAACAAACCACTTATGCATATTTATGACACTTTTTTAGATCCATATTTAAAACTTGAGTTCAATTTTACAATACAATAAAATATACAGAAAATTGAAATCTTTCTGTAGCCTATGAATTTTTCATTTGCATTCATTTCTTCACTAGCTATACAAACTGTGTAATGTGCAGACTTTAGTATGTGTTCCTTAACTCATGTACAATAACATTTGTATTTTTGAATGTCACAGGTAAATATTAAAAATAAACATTCTGTTGAAGTTCAAGTAGTTTATAAATGCATTGGTATTGTTTCCAAACCTGTGTTAAATGTTTTGAAATCATAAATCATTTGAACAATGAAAATTATGAATGTTCTCCCTACAAAAATGTACACATCATGCGTATAGATCAAATATGCATAGATATGATAGCATAGAAAGAGAAGTCCACTATCAAAAGCTGATACAAATGGAAACATTTTCCAGATAAAAGAAGCTTCAGAAGTTTTCATTTTAGCTATTTTTGAAAAAAAAATCTAGATACACTACTCATTTTCCCTCCATTTTGATCAGACGATAGGAAGTTTTAGCTTAGTGAACTAAGGCTATGGTTTTAAACATAAAGTATTATCATAAGTCTTATGACTGACGTTTTCAAAGGTAAAGTATGCAAAGTCATTGATTTGCACAATGACTCCACTCAGCTGAATCACTTGGTATTTCTTTTTCCTTATCATTCTAGCATTTCACCTATTCTATATATGTCCCTAAATCTATTCTATATATGTCCCACTAAGAAGACTGTCTCTGCTTTTATCTCATTCTTTCAAAACAATGAATCAGAAAACAGAAATGAGAAAATTCTATTTAAAGTTTAAATTGTATTTAAAGTTTATCTAAAATGGGTTTTCAGTGACTTGTTGAGATTCATTAGATGATATGGCCATTTTGGCATTATATTTTGCTTGTCCAACTCTCTCTCTCTCTCTTGCACAAAAGTTTTATGAAAAAATAATCTGCACTTTATGCTGGTTAATCTTGATTGTTAACTTGACAAGAACACACTTCTGGACGGGTAAGTAGATTTGGAGAGTACTAACTTCATCAATGGTTTATCCATCAATGAGTTCATTCCTAAATGAGCTGTGGAAGTGGGGCTTAGTTGAAGTGAGTCATAGAAATATAATCCTAGGAAAGATAGCCAGTCCCTGATCCCTTCCTCTCAGCTCTTATTCACTCTGCTCTGCTTTCTGGCTGCCGGGAGAGGTGAGTGGCTATCCTCTGCCATGGTGTCTCTGCCTAGGAACTTGGCAACGGTGCACTGAAACCGTAAACCATACAAACCTGTCCTTTAATCTGTGGAAGTCAGGTTTTTTCTTCCAACAACAGAAGATATAGCCAATCTACATTTTTCTAAAAGTCATAAGAATCTTTTGAAGCTGTTAATGAGTCTTAATCCAACATGCTTTACTGAGAATGCCCACAAGAATAAAACAGCTTTTCTTGGTTTCCTAGACTGTATTCCATTATGTGTTCTTGGGGCATGCTTGCATGGGTGTGTGTTCAATATCATCAGCTTAATGTTGGTTAATTAGTATTTGGAAATCGAATGTAAGAAAAGTCCCTGCCAACTTACGTTTCACAATTTGCCATTATAAAATTCTGTTTGTCTTTACTTGAAAACATTGGAAATATCTGATAAAGCAGTATACTCACGTTTTCACATACCCAAATCAAGTTGGCTAGCACAAAGTGCATTAATTTTAAGTATTGATTACTCACATTATTCAATTAATTAATAGTAATTGTACTTTGGAAAACTCCTAAACATTAACGCAATAACCTTCACTTCTGGTCAACAAATGGTACTAAGTCAGTCTATGGGCCAGAATTTGGTACAAGGAATAATAAGATTGCTTTTGGATAATGAGCATATTAATGCTTCAGACTTCTATTCACAGAACATAACATTGTTTCTACATTCCAAACAGTGCCCAATCACATTGCCCTTACTCAAGATGTGAAGGCAATATAAAATATTGGCTTACTTGCAGCATTAAATTGTTGTATGTTTAATATACTACTTAAAGTTACTGATATTATAGGAAGCAGGGAAACCTGAGCACATAATCTTACAGCAAAAATTTAAAATATAATTGCCAGTCCAAAGAAAGGTAAAAATGATTAAACATTTAATTATGGAGGTTTAATTTATGGGTAATAATAGAATTTTTATTGCAAATAATGCTAGTACTATAATGTGATACGCTGTTACTCTGAAGCACCATACTGTAAGTCTAAATTTAAGTTTACCATTCTTAGATGGCCTTTAGTTCTTTTACAGTATTTTCCAACACATGCTGAACAAATGTCAGGTATTTATTTGACAGTATTTTAAATTAGCAATGCCTTTTATAATTAAACATTAACTACAGAAAGAAAACAACAGATTTTGTTTTTTTATCCCTTGGCTTTAACTGTAATTCACTTTACCAACTTTCCAGTTGGTGTAGTTCCTCACTTAATTCCTTTTCCATTCACAGAAGATGTCACAGGGCCCTTAGGAGGATGGGTGTGGCTGACTAACCTGCATTCCTGAACTCTGACTTGGCTTTCTTTTCCTGTGTCTTAAAATTCACAGCTAACTTAATAACCTTTTCTGTCAGACTTTGTTCCTTTTGTTTGCCCAGTCACTTCTGCAATGGTCATGCTGTTTGGATTTCCTAATTCTTTCTTCAACAAACCAGCTCAAGATGGTGAGTTCTCATTTGGAGGGCAGTTTAGGTTCTGAGACTGGTTTGGTGGGTATATTAAGGGACCAGTCTTATTGATAAGGCTTTGACTTAAATAAAGAGGGTATGTGGATACTGAAATATCTCCAGACTTTTAAGATATGTAGTTTTCTATTTGTTGTTTTCCCACTTATGTCTCATGCACACTTTTCTCAATTGAAGAATATGACCAGTAGTTAGCTTTAGTTATAACCTATTAGCAAACCAAGGCTTTTCTGATGAAAAATATCCTCTTATCAAATGAGTTCCTGTAGGACTTAGAGACTTACGAAAAATCAAAGGTAAAATGAATCAGCCAAATCTTAATTGCAAAAAACAAACAAACAAAAAAAAATAGTTTCTGTACTAGTTGACCCATCAAAGGGGATTAACCAAGGTATAGGGCTTCCAGATTCAGTAACTAAAGCTTAAATTTTGGTGAATAAGAATGCAGCGTAAATATATTCATACAAATGCATTATTATGTAGAGTTTAGGGGCCTTACATAAAGACCATTACAACAAATAAAAGGAAATCTCTCTGAGGGCTGGGGATAGAGCTCAGTGGCACAAGCACCTGCCTGACAAATGTGAAGTTATGACTTTGATTCCTGGTACAAACAAAACAAAACAAAACAACCTCTCTGAATCACAGTAACATTCTGAAAGGAAGCTTTACACAACCAAGAAAATTATGAACATATAAATTAATGTTATATCATAAAATTAAAATATTATTTCTTTACTGCTGACAACTTTTAACTACCAAGATAAACATTCCATTTGATTAATATTATTGTTAATGGCTCAATATGACTGTGATAGTGTAGAAGTATGTATAGGAGCTGCTTCTCTGTGTAACTCCACCCCATCATGAGAAATGTGACAGGCAGATAAAGGAAAGAATGTGTTTTTACTTCATGTGTTCAGCATTGCAGAATTCACTAGAGGGACCCGAGGGACCCACTCTCAAGGGAGGTTTTTAGGAACACAGAAGTGGCAACAGTTCTCCTTGTGAACCCCAAAAAACTGAAGTACGTCATGCATACTTGGGGCACTGAGTGAGAAAGTAACTCAGTGTCCTTATAAACAGTGAACAGAAGAAAAGGAAGGCTAATCTGTCCCCAAATCTCTTTCTCTCTGTCTGTCTGTCTGTCTGTCTGTCTGTCTCTGTCTCTATTTCTTACATACACACACGGAAACTTTAGCAAGTCGAAAAGGAAATGCACATCCTGTATACATGTATATATGCAGATACACAAAAGGAGGTCTACAGGCATCATACAAACACATGCAGCTTGTAGCAAATGTTTGTATGTGTGTATGTATGTACATATATGTATGTGTATGTATATGTGTGTGCATGCATGAATGTAGATATGCACATGTCTATGTGTATATATGTTCATGTACAATTATTATGTTCATATACATGGACCTGGGCCATTGTGGATATTAGTATCCATAATATATATATTCACATATATATTTAAATATAAAAATAAGAATATTACACTTGAACATGTATGACACAGATATTTGCAACTTTTTTAAATTTCAAAAAGACTTTGGGAAAAATAATTCTACTTCTTACCTACATTTCCAGTCATTAAATATGAATTCTGAAAGTCCATCATTCCCATACCAACAATGTGTATAAAATCTTCAATCACCTGCATTAACTCTATTGATCCTGGGTAAATCTAGAAAAACAAGCAAAAGTTAGAAAGAATAAGAAGTATATAATGAAACATAGAACCAGAATGAAAAAATGTGATGAGCTGTTTTATTTGAAGAAATGTCTGCAGCTAGCAACAGTTGCAATTCTTGACTTTATAATTGAGAAAGGAACCAGGTGTCAGACAGCAAGAACTTTGGAAGTGACGTGATGCACTAATTAATCCTCGATAAGTCTAGAGAAAGTCAAAATAACTAACAGATTGTCTACTCAGAAATAGCATGGCTTTATTTTATTACTTTTTATTTTTATTTTTTATTTTTTGGTACTGAGAATCAAACTTAGGGCTTTGATCTTGCCAGGCTCTGCTGCTGCTGAGCTATATCCCCAGCCTATGGCTTTGTTTTTGATGGTCACTTTCCCTTACTTAAATATAACAAACATTGAAATTGGACAATTAACACTTTTAGCTTAGTTTCCATATGGAAGGGAATTCAGGAACAAAAAAGTAATTATTATTGCAATCATGAAGACATTTACCAGACATTAATACATGCATTGCTTAATAAATATCTTGAGAGAAACATTTATTTCTAATAAACATTTATTTCTTAGTCAATGGACAAATTAGCGATAATTATAGGATCATAGAAGCTTTAGTCTGGATAATTTACCAAACAAACCAAGAAGATCATTATTTTTATTTTACCCAAGAAGCAGCAGAAGAACAAGGAAGCTAGACAATGTGTCAAAAGTCTCACTGTATCATTGCCAGTGGATGAGGTGGTAGTCATTTACTCTATCATCTAACGCAGCGATGGAGAACTTTTTGGAGCTTTCAATAAAGCAAACAGCCTGATGCGGCACGCGGGTGTCTACACCTGTATCCATCCTATCTGTCTGGTTGCTATCTACTTAAGGACTGGCAGTGAGAACTAACTGCCTTCCCATCACTCCTATACTTACCACCACCATGGCACTGTACAGATGCATGTGGATTTTCTTAAAGACAACTTCACATTGGCAATAGCTCACAGTATGTGGAATCTGAAGGCCATTTCAAAGGTCACATGGATTTTAACACATGTAATCCATACAGGCCATAAAACCAGCCTACACTGTACAGCTACACTAGAGCAGAAAGTCCTTTGAAGTCAGGTTCAATTCCATGGACATTCAGCCCTGCTGCAGATTTAGTCATGAAAAATTCAACGGATGACAGTGCTCTAGCTGCTTTGCATTTGCAAGGCTACTGTAGAGGAGGAGCAAGAGGCAATGTGATTAGCAAGAAAGCCTGCCCAACAGCTGGAAGGGAGTAGAAGAGGAAATCAGGACAGGTGACAAGCATTGTGTGTACTCTTCAAGGACTTGTAGCCATGTGCAAAATATTAAATACCAAGTATCTGCAATACAGTCTATTCACTCACATGTACTTGAAGTCATGAACAATAGATATGACACTTTGAAACATAGGCACAGTTGCAAGTTTTAAACTTCCTAAAGACTTGGGAGGATTGATCCTATTTCTTTAAACAGGAATTCCCAGTGCTCACCCTCCTCATTCTAAAAATGTGTGCAAAACTTCTGTTGATTCCACAAGTTCCTTTACTACTGATTTCCCATGTTCCTGTGTAGATGTGTACGATCGAGTATGTGTAGTGTAAAAATGCAAATTAAAAAGAAGCATCTTAATTTTCCCTGTTGGCAACCGGCTACTCCCCCTTCACTGTGCCTTCTCTTAGAACATGTATTTTAGAAAACAATTGTTAAGGTCTTTCCCTGTTTCTTAGAAAGGTGTGTACATTTTTTTTTTTCACAGAGAGGATTAAAATCAGAGCCTTCATATTGCACTATATCTCCTGGACTTTTTTATTTACTTGGTATCGTGAGACGGGTTTCCTTCAAAGGCTAAATCGCCCAGATTGGGTTTGCACTTGGAATCCTCATGCCTCAGCCATTCAGAGTGCTGGGATTACATGACCAGCCATATAAATCTTTTTAAAACTAAAAAGCTTCTTATTGGCTTAAAGATTCAGTAAGGTAGAATTTGAAATGTAAACATTAAAAAGGATAACACAGTCCCTCAGTTTCTGTAGAGGGCAGGTGTCTGTCTACCTTCAGTGCATAATGACATGAGATCGCAAAACTGTCTTCAGTCAGGGGCTGGAGACCCTTATTTCCCTTTGTATAAACTCAACTGACTGACCAGACTCTCCCCCAACTCCACTACCAAAATAATTTATTTTGATGTACAGGTGACATGTACTGTTAAACCCCTTTATTCTAAGCCTAGTTATTGTTTATCTTGAGGACACACATGCAATGGGTCGTACCTAGTAGGCTTGATAAAACAAGGGTGTAATCTGTAGGGTTGCTCTCTGTCTTCCTGGACTGTTCATCCTGTATATCATATTCTAGTTCAATGCTTACCATTGAACATCTAGTTCAAAACCACCACTGTGATAACCCTTTTCTTTTTGTCTTTGTAGAAAGGTGTTGGAGGTTAGCAGTAGGTATTCCTTTTAATTATATTTTCCCAATGGTAGCCAAATGTTGCAAGGCAGGGCTTGGCAATCTTTGTGTAAAGGGCCTTACAATAAACATCTTAGGCGCTTTAGATCTCTTAGGACAAGTCATCGCTGTCTTTCTGGCCTCCAAACAAGAACAGGCTGGGCAGTTTCCAAAACATTATTTACAAAAGAGGCTTCGGGTTGTACCTCACTGGCTGCTGCCTGCTGCCCCTGCACTAGAGAGGAGGATTTTCAATATAATCATAAAATAAAGAACAAGCCACGGGAACAAGCCACCTACGGTGGATTTGTTGACTCTTAGTGCTGTGTGTAAAATAGTGCTATCTAAAATGCAGTCTCTTTTCTCCTTTGGTGTGCTACATTTTTAGTAGGATGCTCAGTCAAATGTATTTTGATCCTCCACAACTCGCACAGATAAGTAACTAAGGAGTTGTGCAGTGGTTGTTTATTGTTCAAAAGGGTAAACGTTGTTTGTAAAATCTTCTAACATTGGCAGTTCCATTTCAATCAGCTAGTTTTACAGATGCACCCAGAGCTCTGTTTTATGTTTTACTTTTGTTAAAGTTATTCCTCTAAAATAAGATAAAGGGGACCATGAGGAATATTTTGGGTAAGTTTTAAACCACCCTTATTTAGAAGTCCTTCTTTTATGCTGCAAACTTACATATTCACTTACCATAATGGATATAATTACACACAAATGTTTAGTGGGAGTTACAAAGAAGGGTTTTTTTCTGTTTGTCTGTTTTACATTTGAAATAGTCATCTTAAAATAGCATTAAGCATCACTAGCACTGAAAGAACGTTTAAAAAATACTCTATAAGACTAGAGCTAATGGAGCTGGGGATTTAGCTCAGCGGCATAAGCGCCTGCCTTGTAAGCAGGCAGTCTTGAGTTCAATCCCCGGTACCGATAAAAAAGAAAAAGACAAAAAAAAAAAAAAAAAAAAAAAAAAAAAAAAAAAAGAAAAGAAAAGAAAATTTAAGAAAAAAAAGACTAGAGCTAATTTCAAACCACAAATTGAGAGATGATGATTCATGGTTTCCCATTGATGAGTTCTACCACCATTCATTATTTGCTCAAGTTGTGACCTCACAGTGAAAACCACCACTGTGATGAACAGCAGCCTTGCTTTAAATAGATCGTCACGTGTTAGTTCTAAATATATCCATAATTCATGGTCTCCAGCTTTTGGAAGGATGTGCTCTGCCTCTGCAGCTGCTTTCTAGGGAAAGACACCGCTCTCTCACTGTGAGTGACTGAGGCTGTACCTGGGTGAAGCCCAAGGACAGGAGTATAACTTGAGTTGGCAGGAAAAGTAGGTCAGGGTCTGAGCTACAGGGTGACTTTTTCTTTGCTCTGGCCAGAAGCATAGAATCTGTACCTGATACTGGGGTGTGTCACATGGGAGGAGTTTTAGAGCTCTTATTAGAATGAAAGCAATGGCATGCTTTCCTCTTGAAGGTCTAGAATATGATTATTACTACAAAAAAGAAAATGAACTAGATGATTCGTCTAATCCTGAGTAAATATTTACTCTTTTCCAGATTGCGTTCTCTTGTGTTTTTAACAAGAGTCCTGTAGAATTCTCAAAGAAGTATAGCATTTAGTTGAACTAACTTTTCATAGTATTTTTTTAAATGATTATGCTCCCTTTTTTTATCAGAAATGACACATTTTCTGTAATATAGAAAAACATCTTATTAATCATGGCAATTAGCATAGAAGAAGGATAATATAAAGCATTTAAAGACAATAACAAAACCAGTAAGGTAATTTGCTCCACTGATGTTATATGAAAACAGTGAATTTCTCAAAAGTTACCATTATGATTTTGGAAGAGAAAGTCGTTCGCCTCATGTATTTTTCACATTTTATTTAGTCGAATGCATTTCAAATTCTAAAATAACCCCAACCTTACCTGCTGGGCATCTTCCCATTTTTCCTTGTTTTCTTCATCTAGGAGGTTGCTAACTATTTGAAAGAAGTTCTGTAAATCAAATTAGATAAAAAGCTTTAATATTATATGAGACAATGTATTTTTCTAACAACCACCTATTCAGAATAATTATGTGGCAAAAATATAAACATTTTGCAGTATTGCTTTATGATCCCAACATATTCTAAAAAATCTCAAAGGACCATTTACAACACCGTAATTCTGGGATTTCTATAAAACTTCATCTCCGCATTCCCAGAAGCAATTAGAATAGTTAAAATACGTTCACTCATGATTGTTTTCTCCATTATATTTCCTATGTTCTATTATTATGTAATACCATTGTGCAATTATTCCTTACAAACACTTTTATTCTTTCTTTAATGAAAGTTGTCTGGGTTGCCTGACTCCAAGTTATTCTACTAATTGAAAGCCATGATTATTACTTATATCATTGTTCCAAAGAACACGATGGATGGTGAGACCATGGTCTATGAGAGAAGCCATAGTAAGACAGGATCCCTCAGAATCCTAGCTCTACTAGGCTATCCCACTATTAGTTTTACAGCTACCTACTGAAAAGGTTAAATAAAATCATCTACGTTTCTGGCAAACAGTACCTGATAGACGTCTTACAAATCTTAGCTATTTTTGAAATATTCCTCTTCACTCCTGACTTTTGCCTGCAAGCCGACATGGAGGAGTGAGCAGATGTGTGACACGTTACTCTCACAGCTCCAGATCTGTGCGCTCCCTTGCCTGTAACTAACTGCTGAAGACCTACTGGTTTTATCTTCACCTAGAACTAACCACGTGTGCTTGTTGTTTCCCTCTCCATGCAGACAAGCACATTTTCATGCTCCTTTTTTCTATTCATAATGGACATACTGCCAGAGAGCATTCAGTTCAACTTAGCACCCTTTTCACATGGGAGATGTTCCTACCAGAGAAACTTTTTGTCATCTCACGTTACCCTGTGCCGTCCAGACTCAGACCAGGAGTGGAAAACCAGGGTAGTTTGCTGAGGACAAGCATGGGATCACAAGAGACTGAACCAGTGTCAAGGGAAGGCTTGATGTTCCTTTGAAACCTCATGAAGAGTGGCTGTTTGGTTGTTCACTCACAGTCTATCTTTTCTAATAGGAGAATGCCCTGATACTAACACATTAGTGTAGGACAAGACTTGCTCCGGGGCAGAAATAATAATGATTTGTTAGTCTCATCTGTCTTCCTCTCTGTGTAGCTTTACAAAACAAGCATTTGCTCTCATTCCAAATAAATTTGTCTGGGTGTTTTTAGATGAAAAACAAAGCTGCTTCATTTCCTCTACTCTTGTGGTTTGAAGCTGTTAGTATCTATATTTAATTGCCCTATTTGTGCTATTTATTTTAATAGTTCCTAGCAATCACATGGCTGCAAAATGGTTGGAGTCACAACCTCTATAAAGTTCTGGAATATTTTACGCAACTTTCAAAAAAAAAAAAAAAACACTGTAAGTCTGTTTTACACTCATTTTAAACTCTTTTAACCTTTTTGTACTACTGGACATTTTTTCCACTTAAAAGTCCTTGCTCGAAGAATTAACATTTTAAGGGCTTAAGTCCATTGAGCTGTAACTCTACCTATGGGCAGGAAGAATTAACCTTCATAGTTTTGCAGCTGCCCATGGCTGGTTAACTCAGTAGGGAACATGGTGCTAATGAGGTAAAAGTTGCAGGTTTTATTCCTGTGCTTGCCAGTTAGCTGTGCTGAGTCCATGACCTCAGTCTGCATCTCAACCCCTGCTAGCTCCCATACAAAATGCAAGCTGCTACTAATGAGAGACACCAAAAGAATGTGAAGTAATTTGTGTAAATATGTCTCCTTTTCTGGGGAAGGGAAAAAAAAAAAACACCATTTCTCAGAGCATGTTTTGCTGATAGCAGGTCAGTAACTTCTTGCTGTACACCGAGGCCAGTGTACACATACAGTTTATTAATGGGAATAACATATTCAGAGCTCAGGTTTTTAAATCAGCAAAGAGAAATCATGAATTATTAAAAGAAACATTAAAGTAACAGACATAGAGTGTAAGAAGCTATTTTCCAAGACCAATGAGTAGGACTTTCCTAAATCAGAGTGAACAGGTGCTACAGAATACATGTGACCTTAAGGCAGACTGCATTTCAGAATAATCCGGGCTGCCTCTCTGACTCCCATGCAGGGGTACAGTGAGTTAAGGTTCCATGTCGAGGGTGGTGAGATGGATGTTTATGCAGAAGCTGTGTCATCTTATTGATTGTGTCATCCTCTGCCTGCATAATGTCTTACCTATGGCAGAGATTTTATGAAGCCCTAAATTAAAGGATGTCAGTGAACCACAAGTTTTCTCAAATCACTCAGCGCCATTCCTCTGAGATGACTCTGCTCTACTTTGTCTCACACACACTGCAAAACATTCATATTAATGTTAATTGTGAGATATACTCATTGTGTTTGATTTTTGCTCAAAGATCAGACTTTTGGAATACAAGAGACTGAACAGCATTTTGAAGAGGATACTCACTATACTTCATATCTCATTAGTATAAAGCTAAACAGGAAGAGATTCACTATGCGCTAGTGTCCTTTAAGGTGAGAATATTATTCCTTTGATGATTTACAGGTCATTTCACGTATATCAGGCTCTGAAATGGATCAGATAGATTCTATTTTTCTTTTCTTTTTAAATCTGCTCTGATTCTTATGACTCAGATCATTTGAAAAACTGAGTATTACTGGCAGAGTCTGAGTTACTTGGAGATTGAATTTAGCAGACCTGGATTAAAATATACTCTCCATTAATCATTAGCTGTGTGGTCCTATGTAAATGGTGTTCAGCCATCGCATTGTTTGTCTAATCTGTAAGAAGAATAACTAAAGCAACTTAGAAGAGTTATTGTGAAGCTTGTATGTGATCCTTAACATAATTTCTAACACAGAGTTAGTACCTGACGCATGGAAGCTTTACAATTTTATTTCCTCATCTTTTTTATAACTGGTGAAATGATTTATATCTACAGCCACATTATTGTTTTTGCAATGTTGATATGTGAAAGTGGCACTATCTCCTACCTGCTTTTAATGTCACGTTCTCTCTTGGCAGAAAGTACAGTGCAGAATTACTTTATCACTATCTTCTGGGTCTGTAATTTATTCAATAAAAAAATCTCTCTTTTCTACGAATGTGTTATAGTAGGAGAGGTTTTAAGTGTAGTGATTATTAAACAAGTATTAAGACACACTGTGCCAAATAGTTTTGGGACACAAAAGACAAAGAAGTGTGACTTTTTGTATTTTTGTTTGCAAGAAGTATGAGAATTAGTGAAATAAGTGTATGATAAAAAGAAAAGCATAAGTGCTTCTATAACTTTCAAAGTGCAGGTCCTAGATTTGGCTATGGAGCCAAAAACATGTTTTATTTTATAGCTACTAGTAAATAACTCTTTGCCTTACTTCTTATTGGCTTTGACTTGGTGGATTTCTTTGGAATTATGTAGCACTTTCTGAAGCAATGCTCTTAGTACTTAGCCCTTGAAGAACTCCTCATGAAAATAAAATTATAGTTTAGATTAGGCTGATAATTTGAGATATCTGACTTACAGGAAATTCATTCTCCACCATCTTACCCAGCAGCAAGTTGGGCTAAAGTTTTGAGGTAAGTATATTGGTTTAGGCTAGACATATAGGTATAACCCTTGGAATGGCAAAAGGGCTGAACAAGGAAGCAGGCCCAGGACAGTGGGATGAGGCAGGAGAGCCTAGACAGAATGGTGAGCCTCAATCTAGACATGGGTGGATGGCTGCAAAGCTGTGTGTGATCCAGCCCCTTCTGCCTCTCGGTCTAGTTTCTGTGGCCCTTCCCCACATTCGCCACACTTCTGACTTGTTAAACTTCATGCATCTCAAAGCCTTCTTCACCCTGCCTGGTCATGTTGCCAAAATAATGATGTCTTCAAGAGATGGCTGAGCTTTATAGGGAGACTGAAGTCCTCCTCACAGGTGCTGCAGGGAGGACAGGGTCAGCCCAACTTTCTGCCTTCTGCCTGGAAGAGCAAGGCATTTCTTACTCCAGGTGACACTGTCACAAGGTACCCTGAGAAGTAAAGAGCAGTCCTCATCAGCCAGCCGGACAGCTGAGCCTTCAGGTCTTGGATTTCGGACTGAGCCCCCAGAAGTATCAGAGAATACATTTCTTTTCTTTGCAAATGACCTATTTCTGTATTTTGTTGTAACAGCCTGGGCTCTCACATTATGGGGTATGGGGTAGAGCAGGAAGACCTGAGGAAGAGAATTCTGGGGGGAAAAAAAGTAAGAATACAAAGTCCAAATTTCCTGCCTAACAATAAGTCTAGACAAATCTGAGAAACAGAAAGAAAAACATATAGTTGGAATGCTGGTTTACACAGGACGGAGGGTGGGACATCAAGTAAAGCAAGCCCTCGATCCCACAATGGTTAGATGACACGCTGAGTTATAAATGCAAATCTAACTCTGGTTACTGAGTGGGAAAAACAGACCCGGATAGGCTAAGTGAAAACAGGGAGGTCAGAGGATGATGCTCGGCACAGGGAAGAGTACATGGAGAGAACTGACTCCTGGAAGGGGCAAAATCAAAGGCACATCTCAAATTCCCAGTTCAAGCTCCACAGGGCAGCAAAGCAGAAAGGCACACGGAGGCCAGCAAAAGAGAAGAAAGCAAGTGAATGACGTTTCATTCCAGCTGAGTGTGAGGATTTACCACAAAGCTGAGGCAAGCGTCCCAGCAGATGGATTTAACTACAAGTGTAAATGCCAAAAGACAGAAACTTGTGAATTATTAATCCTCATTAAAAACTGGAGCTTTTGTGATAGAAACATTAAGATAACCACAAACTTGAGCTAAATGAAACAAAGTCAGTTAATACACTAAAGACAGAGACAACAGGAAGAGTGAAGAGGGAAGGAGAAAAGCAGGAGTGACAGGTGACAGAGTTGAGTGAATGTGGAAAGAGTTGCTCCACCAGCAAGGTGGATTTAGAGGCAGGGAGACC